AGGTCAGACTGGTGGTCTCCCAAGAGCTTGCCCCAGCATGCCCCATACTGCTCCAGTTGACAAGCACAAAGGTGCTCAGGAGCTCAGAGTCAGAGTTCAGTGTAGCCAGAGCATGCAAGCATTCAAGGAGCTGCCCACTCTGAAAAGCTGGCTTGGCCACAATGCTTTATAGGGCCTGGCATGTCCCTCTTGGCTGAAGGACATCAACTGGCCAGACTGAAGTAGGGATGTCAATGCGTTCCATTCAGGCTGGAACTGCAGCCAAGAGGACTACCTATCCCTGGAGTGAAGCTTTATAGCCCTGTCTCTCTCCAGGCATTTTGCATGTCAACTCCCATTGATCCTAGTTAGCAAGGCCAGGGGCCAGGATTACGGGAACTGTAATCCTCAGCATCTGGCGGGCATCTGGCTGGCAACAACCATGGTATAACTGCTTGGCTCCTGAAGTTCAGAATACTGGTGGCACAGGAGGGAAGGTGGCTTCTGATGGCTTTGGATCAACGCCTGCTTTAGCAGAACAAGCACCATTATTCAAGAAAATATCACTCTTCCAGAACATGCTGTCAACATTCCCTTCATCTCAGTGTTCTGCTCTTCTCCTACCTCTACTGGCTGTTTCATGGGATGACTGACAGGGCTGTGGCACTCTTTTCATCTTTGCAGTGAAGTTCAGAAAAGGCTCAGCCCCACCAGCTCTCAACTCCAGGGCCTGCGTCTGACTGGGACCCTGCCTCCTGTGCAGACCTCTGCCAGACAACAGCTGTTCTTGCTCCATTTGGTAACTTTGGACTCTCTCCTCCCACCCTCACCCACTGTCACCACCAGAAAAAAAAGTCCACATTGACTTGGGAAGTTTCTGAGGACGGGTCTGGTAAGAGGGAAGGAATTGCTCAGGAAGAGAGCGGGTTGGGCTGGCAACCTTTGTGCTTGTCAGCAGGAGTGGGCACAGCATGCTGAGAAGACTTTGTCGGCTCAAGTACAAGAGGCTCAGCATGCCAATTCCAAGACAGAAGGAGGGGCCAGGGGGCTTACATGGGAGATTTCTGGCCAGGAGAAACAGGAAAGCAAGGGATGGCCCACCCCAGAAGAACAGCCATTGTGCTTCAGCTGTGGTCAAAGAAGGAACTATGGAGAAAAGTGAACTCTGGGACCTCATATTGGTTTTCTCCCTCATTTTAATGGTTAACATATTGTGTATATTAAATGAAAAGTATATTTTGGACACTTTAATTTACAATATGGAAATGCAATTTACTGTGCGTCTCCTGGCTTCCATGTTGAAGTCCTCCTGTGTCCCTCTAGGTCCAAAAGATTGGACTGCCCTGCTCTAGAACATGTTTGGAAGAATCCAAAAATCCCTGAGATATCAATATGGGCAGCAACCTGGGGGCTGACTGACTCAATCTCCATGGTTGGCAACCATGATAAGAACCAATCACTGTAACCATGAGTGGATTCATATGACGCAACAACCAACTAATGACAAAATCAACCTGATGTTTGTTGTTAGTTGTCATGTTGTGCAAACCCAAAGAGTCCATCGTACATTTGGCCATTTCTACTTGCAGAAGAAGCCAAATGTAAGCAAGTGTGTTGCATGAATAAGTGCACCATCCTGTCCCAATAAACCAGGGTTACTCAGTACATGGGCTTATGGTAATGTGTGATCTGGGACATGGACACAGGTTGGAAAGACATGAGATGGCTTTAGGGCAGTCTGAAAAGACCTAAGTTGGTATCCCACCTCACCTCTCTTCAAACAGCTACATCATGCTGAACAGGCTGCTTGAAGTACAAAATGTCTGCATTCTCATACGTATTAAATCTGCAATTATTTTGCTGAAAAGTGTGGCTAGAAAGTGCCAGTGACTCACTGCACTCGTAACCCATGAAATTCTGGAAGATTGACATAGCACTCCAGCACTGTTGCCACCCCTGCCATTCTGATGATGTGAACACACACACACCCGGGCCAATTACTTTGGATGATGCTGGAAACCACATCAGAAATCTTCTGACTTGGCTCTGAGCAGGGATGCTGGCCTCACCAATAAATCAGTTCCCTGGCTGCTGGTGCCTCTCCTCGTGTCAACACCACAGGCCACCAGCTGCCTTGCTTGCATTCCTTCTATCCTACCTCTCCCATGAACAGTCAAATGACACTAAAAAGCACTCCCTTAACAAAAGCAGCAGCAGCTAAAATCTGCCAAGTATAAACGAACAAATCAACGCAAATGTGAAGAGTGATCCAGGCCAGTGAAAGATTAAGACACCAGCATGGGATGGAAGAGGAGGCATGCCATATGGTGATAATTACAGTATGTGGATGCTTGGTAGATCCCATAAAATTGCCCTTGCTGCCAAAGTGCCTATGGACAGACTAACTGTGTGAACTGGAGCTTCCATGTGAGGCCTGTACGTGTGGCCAAGAAGATCTGGGCAAACTTGGTGGTCCTTTTATAAATCACATTTAATCTGTACCAGGTTTACATTATAAGGGGATCTAGTGGCAGCAATAGCCCTTGAGTTGCATGCAGAACTTCAATAATCCCAAGGTTATGCATCTAGTGAGTCACTGGCACTTTATAGCCCTGCATTTGCTCACAGATGACCATGTAAGGGTGAAGAGTATGAACAGAGTTTACATTAGCAAACAGAGCCCACTTATTAAAGAAACAGAAATAAAAAAGAAAATAGGAAGGGGCACTTAGAATCATAGAATAGTAGAGTTGAAATGGGCCTTAGATGGCCATCAAGTCCAACTCCCTGCTCAAGGCAGGACTCCAAGTTAAAGCATCCCTCTCAGAAGGCTGTCCAACTGCCTCTTGAATACCTCCAGGATGGGAAAGCTCTAAGTCTTTGGTTCCATTGCCGTACTACTCTAACAGTCAGGAAGCTTTTCATGATGTCTAGCTGGACTCTGGCTTCTTGCAGCTTGAACTCATTATTCCATGTCCTGAACTCTGGGATGACTGAGAAGAGATCCTGGCCTCATCTGTGCAACAGCCTTTTGAGTGTTTGAAGAGTGCTATCATATCAGCCCTCAGTCTTCTCTTCTCAAGGCTGAACATGACCAGTTCTTTCAATCTCTCTTCCCATTGCTTTGTTTCTAAAGGCCTTTATTGTTCCCCTGATCATCTTCGTTGCCCTTTCTGAACCTTTTCTTGTTTGTCTCCATCTTTCTTGAAGTGTGGTTCCCAGAACTGGACAGAGTACTCCAGAAGGAGTCTAACTAGTGTTGAATAGAAGGAGCCAGTACCTCATGTGATCTGGATGCTATACTTCTATTAATGCAGCTTAATATAGCATTAGCTTTTTTTGCAGCTACATCACATTGTTGACTCTTATTCACCCTGTGATCTACAATAATACCAAGATCATTCTCAGTTGTAGCATTGTTGAGCCAAGTATTTTCCATCATTTAACTGTGCATTTGGTTCCCCTTTCCTAGGTGTACAACGTGTCATTTGTCCCTCTTGAATTTCATTCTGTTGCTTTCAGTCCAGCACCCAGCCTATGAAGATCACTTTGAATTTTGTTCTGCATTCCACGCTATTAGCCATCCTAATGAATGTTGTGTCATCTGCAAATGTGATCAGCTTTCTTTTCATCTCTTCATCCCAGTCATTGATAAAAATGCTAGAGTACTGGCCCAGGACTGAGCCCTTCAGTACTTCACTTGTTACTTCTTCCCAGTTTGAGAAGGTGTCATTGAGAATCATTCTCTGTTTCCGGTGCTCTAGCCAGTTATGGATCTACTTGACAGTTGTTCCATCTAGCCCACTTTTACCTAGTTTGCTGATCAGAATGCCATGGGACACTTCATCAAAAGCTTTGCTGAAATCAAGATATATTAAGTCCACAGCAGTCCTGCAGTCCACAGGGCAGGTTACCCAAATCAAAAAATGAGATCAGATTAGTCTGGTAAGACTTGTTCTTGATAAATCCATACTGTCTTCTAGTAATTATTCCATTGTCTTCAGGGGTGACTCCAGAATTTTCCCAGGGATTTGTGTTAGACTAACTGGTCTGTAATTCCCAGGATCCTCCTTTTTTCCCCTTTTTGAATATTGGGATAATGTTAGACATCCTCCAGTCATCTGGCACTTCACCCATCTTCCATGATTTCCCAAAGATAATAGACAGTGATCCTGAGCATTCTTCTGGCAGTTCCTTTATTACTCTAGCAGTTTATGAGGCCCTGGAGATTTGAACTCATGGAAAGAATCAGGCATTCCTTGACCATTTGTTGATTACTTAGATTATTATTTCACTTGGATCCAGACTCCAAGGCTGCTGCCCATTTTTTCACTTATAATGGAAAGAGATGTGAGGAATTGTACCCCAGGGTGGGCAGAAAGTAGATCTACAGATGTTTTGGACCTTAGCTGTCAGCGTTCCTGGCAATTGGCCATGTGTGCAGGGGCTTCTGGGAGCTGAAGTCCAAAACATCTGGAGGTCTATCCTCTGCCCATCCCTTTTATACACAATATTGCTGCATTTTACATGCATTAAGTCAACTGTTTTTTAAACCACTGTCTTCCTCTCGCTCTTGATTTTGCTCTGCTATGATGTACTCAAAAGCCATTTTATGAATATAATAGATATTCTCCCCTTTCAATTTCATATATAACACTTCAGTCACACCTAGGTATACTGTGAAAATTGCTTCCCTTTACACTTATTTATTTATTTATTAAAACATTTTTATGCCGCCTAACATATAGAAGGGTTAGGATGCTTAGGATATCCTACTTTAAAAAGATGTTTTTAAGTCTGCTAGGAAAATGGAATAAATCTTTACCAAAAACAGCATAAGAAACAGTGGCTGTGGTGGTGATTATTTTTGTATTGCCCTACTCTGGATGATTTGGAGTAACAATACCATAGAGACAGTGTGCTGCAGCACTCAGACTGCAGGACCCAAACTTGGGAGAACTGGGTTCTAGCCCCCACTCAGCCCACTGGGCCATTTTAACAGCCACTGCCTCTCAACCTACCTCACAGGGTTTTTGTGGTGAGAAAATGGAGCAGAGATGAGTCATGCGTCTCTCCTTGGGGCCCTTGGAGGAAAAAACAGGATATGAATACAACAAATAAATAATTAAACTTTTGAACTATAAGACCAGTAAGCTTCCAAGATTGTAAATATTCCTCCTTCAAACATTTATAAGAAAAGGTAGGTGAACCTTACAGTGAGGAGGTACATTTTGGGTATGCAAATAATGTATGGTCGTTTAGACAGAAAAGAGTTCTACATCTCCTAGCCTGGCTGGCTGCAGCATGATGGGGCTTGGAGGACTTTTTTCTGTCTATACAGGCATAGGATTGGATTCATCGCCAGTGGAATGATGAGTTAAATGGCAGACAGAAATTCTTCCAATGATTTTATAATGATTTGAAAATACTGTTCTCCCATTGTACTTTTTATAGCAATGAAGTTATTCAATATACTTAGAACTGGTGTGTGTGTTTTAAACTGCTAACTGTTGTCACATTGTTTTCCACTCACAGGATTTTGCAACTGGTTGAAAACTAGGCTTTTGAGTCCAGCACATACTTTCAGACTATTTGGGTAACTCAAATTTTATGCCTATCCTACCACAGAGCTGCCTTGAGCCTTGTTTTTGAGTGGAAAGTATAAATCAAATGAGTAAATATGGTGGGTTTGTGTCAATGAAAGGATGCAGTACCTAAATCCACCATAAGCTAGCTAAGAAAGGGCATGAGCCAATCACAGTTCAGCACTTATAAACCTCAGTGATTCAGTGGAAGAAAGAGAAGCAAGTGCCCAACAATACTAGCCAAATCAAAGGGAATTTACCATGCTTCACTCCGGCAGGAACTTAACCCCAGCTAATGAGACATTAGTTTTTTTAAAAACAGACAAATTAGGAGCAGATGTCAAAATAGGCTGGGTTTGGGACCTGTCAAATAGGGTGATACCTTTCCAGGGGAACCAACTCATTCTGAATACAAATGATATGAATCGGTTGGAATAACACACATCTTGCAAGCCTTTGTAATAGATTAAAGGAGTTTCTCAAATGAACGCTTAAAACAACAGCAAGTCATCCAGGACACGCCTTCACTAAAGGCAGTGTTAAACTTAATACTTTCTGAAAAGTTCCCTGAACTGAACACACCTGAATTCAGATTCCATGAAGAAACCTTGCACAATGTATTCTCACAACTGTGGGTGTCAGAGCCTGAGTGGATCCAGGGACATATTGGCTATGCATGCCTTGTTTCTAGATTCTGGTTCACACAAAGTCAAAGAAAGGAAGATGCTGAATTGTTTTGTACAGTGAAATGTGCGGCATGTTATACCCATTTTAACAGCTAAATCAAGATTAAAAGTATCTACAGCCATTTCAGAGCAGTCAATTTCCTTTTTTTTTTTTTTTTTTTACAAAGGACCTCTTCCGTACAATCTTTAATGGGAAATGCTGGAACACAAAAAAAATGGGCCACATATCTTTATAATATGAATGTGGCTCTCTTCAATACTTTCCCATAATCTGATGGGGGATAAAAAAAACATTTCGCTGTTTTAACCCCATACTTCTGCATAATGTTGTCAGAAATATGTGATCATGAACACCTTCTTCAGGCATGCTATTTAAACATGCACAGTTAAAAATAGCTGTGACCTCTCTTCTCCCATGGGCATTCCTTGCAGGATGACCACAAGCAAAGCAAAAGAAAAACACCCCAATAGCATATGCAAAGCATCCCTGAAACTTGCTTCCAGCAAATCTCTTTGAAGTTGAACACACATATCAAACTGACATCTGATGATCACACAGCACACTGAGCGACTTGACAAATGTTCCTCAAGAGATGTGTGGCCATATTTGAGATCTCACATTACATTTGCTTGTCACTTTAGCACTGAGTGCATGACACACTCAGATAATAGTTACAATGGTTGTTGTTATGTGCCGCCAAGTCGTCTCCAACTTACGGCAACCCTATGAATGAGAGCGCTCCGAAATGTCTTATCCATGACAGCCTTACTCAGTTCTTATAAACACAAGACTGCGCCTCCCTTTATGGAGTCAAGCCATCTCTTATACGGTCTTTTTTGTTCCTTCTGCCTTCAACTTCCCCAACATGAGTGTCTTCTCCAGGAAGTTTTGCCCTTTTATGATGTGACCAAAATATACCAGCTTTGTCATTCTTGGTAGCTTTTTGTCAGTTTTGCTTCTAGGGAAAGTTCTGGCTTGATTTGAACTAGGACCCACTGGCTTGCCTTCTGCTGGTCCAGAGTATTCACAAAGCTCTCCTCCAGCACCATGCATGCATTGTCTTCACTGCCCAGCTTTTACACCCATACACAGTGATCAGGAATACAATATTATGGATGATCTTGGCCCTGGCATCCAATGAAATGTCCTTTCAGTGCATTATTTCTTCTAGCTCATTCACAGCTGTTCATGTTCAGATTTATTAGCTATTAGTAACCATCATAATTGATGACTGAGCTATGTAAGATCTTTCACAATTTCAACTTCTTCAATGTTAACAGTAAAATACCATGATATAAATTGAGCAATAGTGTTGATTATTTGCCCAGTTCTCTTAGGGTATAATTCAGTCAAGATCAAGAAGTCATTTGGGTAACTTGGAAGAAAACACTCCAACTTCAGAAAGGGGAGTTTGAGATCCATCTTTTCCCAGCCCTACTGCTGGCACAGACAGAACCTTGCTGGCTGCCTCTCCAAGATGGGAAAACCAAAAATCAAGGAGATGGATAAGGGAGCGTTTTTTGGGTGGGGAGAGGAAAAGATCAGAGGCCAGGATACAATTTACTGCCACTCTCTTCCAGCCTCCTTCCTTCTTTCTCCAAAGCTCCCTTGCTACATAGACTAGAAAGCCTGTTTAACGAAAATAAAGATCAGAGGGCAAGGGTACTACATTGCCTCTGCTGCTTCACCTGTTTCAGCTCAGCAGGGTCTAGGGACCTCAGAAGCCTCCAAGTCCAGGGACTTCCAAACAATATCAGTCCATAGGATTCTGCCCTTAGTGTAAATCTTAAAGAGGCAGCAGCCACATGAACCTACTTTAAACTGTGCTTTGTTTCTGGGACTCATCTTGCCAGCTTGCAGTCCATGGATGTGCAGTTTAATTGGATGAGAAGAGTAGCCTTCTTGGTTATTGGTGCACAGCCTATGGAATGTCCTGAGAGTGTTTTGCTGGCCCTTCACTTTCAAAATAAATATTTTATAGAAGTATTGGAGTGTCCTTTTTCAGTAGGTATGTTTTGAATTAGGGGTTTTCAAGCTGTTATATACAAGCTTTCTTTTTCACTGCTATTCTTGTTTTGCTGACTGTATGTTTTATAGAATTTTAGTAAATTGCACTGATTTGCTTTTAGAATTTTGTAGCTATGATTTTCCAAAACAAATCCCTACCTGCTAATACCTTCTAGCAGGTTTCTGAGATAGTCCTTGTAAGTCTGCAGTCCATGGTGTGAGCCAGGCCATCAAAACTGAAATATGGCTTGTGGTGTCTCATTTGCTATCTAGCTAAAAACCACAAGTCTTATTGTTGGCTTAAGAAGTCTGAGTTGTTTAAGGCATGTCTTATTGTGATGCTGAACCCATAACTAGGGATGCAAAGATCATGGTTTGCACTCACCAAACAATTTCACCACGACCAGGAAGCAAGCTGAGCTGAGATCAAGTCTGAATATTCTGGAATGCCAGCAGCTTCTTTGTGCAAAGTATACAGTATACTGGAGAAGGAAATGGCAACCCACTCCAGTATCTTTGCCATGAAAACCCCATGGACAGTACCAAAAGGCAAAAAGATATGACACCGGAAGATGAGCCCCTCAGGTCAGAGGGTGTCCAATATGCTACTGGGGAAAAGCAGAGGGCTAGTACTAGTAGTGCCAGAAAGAATGAAGTGACTGGGTCAAAGTCGAAAGGACACTCAGTTGCTGATGTATCTGGTGGTGAAGGGAGAGTCCGATGCTGCAAAGATCTATACTCCATAGGAACCTGGAATGTAAGATCCATGAATCAAGGCAAGCTGGATGTGGTCAAACAAGAGATGACAAGACTGAACATCGACATCTTAGGAATCAGTGAACTAAAATGGACAGAAATGGGTGAATTTAATTCAGATGACCATCAGGTATACTACTGTGGGCAAGAATCCCTCAGAAGAAATGGAGTAGCCTTCATAGTCAATAAAAGAGTAGGAAAAGCAGTACTGGGATACAATCTCCAAAATGACAGAATGATCTCAGTTTGAATCCAAGGCAAACCATTCGACATCACAATAGTCCAAGTCTGTGCCCCAACCACTGGTGCTGAAGAGGCTGAAGTTGACCAGTTCTATGAAGGCCTACAGCACCTTCTAGAATTAACTCAAAAAAATGTCCTTATCATCATGGGGGATTGGAATGCTAAAGTAGGAAGTCAAAAGATAACCGGAAAAACAGGCAAGTTTGGCCTTGGAGTACAAAATGAAGCAGGGCACAGGCTGGTAGAATTTTGTCAAGAGAATACGATGGTCATAGCAAACACTCTTTTCCAACAACCCAAGAGACGACTCTACACATGGACATCACCAGACAGTCAACACAGAAATCAGATTGACTATGTGCTCTGCAGCCAAAGATGGAGAAGCGCTATACAGTCAGTAAAAACTAGACCAGGAGCTGACTGTTGCTCAGATCATGAGCTTCTGGTTGCAAAATTTAGGCTTAAGTTGAAGAAAGTAAGGGAAAGCACTAGGCCACTCAGGTATGACCTAAATCATATCCCTGATGAATATACAGTAGAGGTGACAAATAGATTTAAGGAATTAGATCTGATAGACAGAGTGCCTGAAGAACTATGGATGGAGGTTTGCAACACTGTACAAGAGGCGGCAACTAAAACCATCCCAAAGAAAAAGAAATGCAAGAAACAAAATGGCTGTCTGAGGAAGCTTTACAAATAGCTGAGGAAAGAAGGGGAGCGAAAGGCAAGGGAAAAAGATACAAACAATTGAATGCAGAATTCCAGAGAACAGCTAGAAGAGATAAGAATGCCTTCTTCAATGAACAGTGCAAAGAAATAGAGGAAAACAATAGAATAGGGAGGACCAGAGATCTCTTCAAGAAAATTGAAGATATGAAGGGAACATTTCAAAGAGGGCATGATAAAGGACCAAAATGGCAGGGACCTAACACAGGCAGAAGAGATTAAGAAGAGGTGGCAAGATTACACAGAAGAACTATACAAGAAAGAGCTTAAAGTCCCTGATAACCACGATGGGGTGGTCACTGACCTCGAGCCGGACATCCTGGAATGTGAAGTCAAATGGGCCTTAGGAAGTCTGAGCAACAACAAAGCTAGTGGAGGCGACAGCTGAGCTATTCAAAATCCTAAAAGACAATGCAGTAAAAGTGCCACACTCAATATGCCAGCAAATTTGGAAAACTCAACAGTGGCCACAGGATTGGAAAAGGTCAGTTTACATTCCAATCCCAAAGAAGGACAATGCCAAAGAATGTTCAAACTACCGCACCATTGCACTCATTTCACATGCTCGCAAAGTTATGCTCAAAATTCTACAAGCTAGGCTCCAGCAGTATGTGGACCGAGAACTACCAGAAGTACAGGCAGGATTTCGAAGAGGGAGAGGAACTAGAGATCGAATTGCCAACATACACTGGATCATGGAGAAAGCTAGGGAGTTCCAGAAAAACATCTACTTCTGCTTCATTGACTATGCTAAAGCCTTTGATTGTGTGGATCACAACAAATTGTGGCAAGTTCTTAAAGAGATGGGAGTACCAGACCATCTTATTTGTCTCTT